CGCCCCTACCATCTCACATTTCATTTAACACTCCTACGCCTAAAGATTTAACCAAAGGAAATAACTCAGTAAAAGCAAACAGGAAAATGCTCAAAAAGGGTTTTGCTTCAGCATTACTTATGAGACACCAGAAAAACTGGACAACGGAAGGCTCACCGCCTGCCTCCCGTTGCCCTGCCACAAGGCCGGCCCCTACCCTGCCCCTCTCGGAGGCCAGCCACCTGAGCATCTCGCCTCCGCAGGAACCCGCACCCACCCCCCCACCGCCCAATACCCTGGCTGCACCCCAGGGCCCTGCCTCCTGCACGTCATAGCCCACCAGCACCAAACGGTCTCAGCCTGGATCGGGGGCCCCAGCACACCTGAGCCCCCACCTTCCCCCTCCCTCCACAGCGATCGCGGCTCAGCTGGGAGCCCCGCCCACGCCCTGGCTCCGCCCGTGGCCCCGCCCCACCGTGGCCCCGCCCCTTACCTGTGCCAGGCGGCCCTGGAGCTCGTCCACCTCGCGGGCACTCTGCTGCTGCAGCTCCTGCACTTTCTGTAGCTCCTGCACCCGCGCCTGCAGCACCTCATCCTGCCGCGTCACCTGCAGCAGCGGCTTCACCTGGCAGGGGGGGGGGGCAGGTAAAGGTGGGCATGGCTGGCTCCATTGGCCCAGAAGCTGAGTAAGCACTCACACCCTGAGCCGGGTTCCAGTGGCAGCTCCGGAGCTATGTGGCTTCCGGCGAGCTCGCTAATGTCATCTATCGAACAGGGATGGGAACAGCCCCTGCGCCATGGGGTTTTCGGGGTTTTCGCAGTGGGTGAATGAGCTGACACTAGTGAAGAGCCTAGAACAGCCCGGGGCAAAGGCAAGCCGCACTAAACGTGTTCCTTCTTCGCGAAACTAACCCTGGGCGACAAGAGACACTGGCGCCACCGTTCTGTAGCACAATGTCCCTCAAAGTTCCCGAGTCCCGGGTCTGGGGTAAGAGATGCACTTTACGCGGTGTGATTCAGGTCGCGGGACACGTGCCACACACACATAACCAACTGAAAGGACAGGCTCCCCCTTGCTGAGTGGGATCCCCTCTGATCATTGCTGTCCCACTGCTTTCTGTTTGGTTCTTCCCGACTCAGCTCGGTTCTTTTTCTACAGTATTGTATTCTCTTCTGCCCTAACTCATGGCATTTAACACGGCCACGATTTTATATTTATCCGTGAGACTCATTCGCTGATGCCGGTCAATGCCCATGCCCAGGACCTGGGGTAGGCCAGCTTTCTCCTAAAGGGCCAGCTCGGAAACGTTTGAGGCTTTGTGGGCCACCCTGTCTCTAACAACTCCACTCAGCTGCTGGAACGCAAAGACAGTCACAGATAATGCGTTAACCGATGGGCATTTACAAACACAGGCACCTGGACCAGGCCACACTTTGCTGACCCCTGCTCTAGACTGTGGGCTCCATGGGGCAGGACTTTGCTTTTATTCACCATTTTATCATGATCCCCCCCAAAGTTATTGGCACATAGTAGGTGCTCAGTTAACACTGGCTGAAGGCATGTAGGCTGATTGCTCCCACACCGTATTCGGAATTACACTGAATGGCTGGGGTTTTTGCCTCCAAATTTCGAACTTCCTTCCTCCTCTCCAATTTCCCATTGGGGGAACACACTGCCCCCCATGCTCACAGGGGGCCTGACCACCCGGCTCTGCCCCTCTGCTCCAGGCGGGCATGTGACACCAGCCTGGCTCATCTGATGTGTCCTGATGAGTCCTGGGGTGGTCACATGACCCCAGCTGGCCAAGGGCAAGTCAAACCTGGGACTCTGGCTGGAGCTTTGGGATAGAAGACCGTGCTGGCCTAGCTGGTCAGGGGACAAGTCTCAATGGGCTGGTGGCCCCCATGTGGAAAAGCCTAGAGGTGATCACCATGAGGAAAAGCCAAATGGGAGACACAGAAGGTCAGATAATTGACATCACTATTTGGGCCCTTGTGCAATAAAGGGTTGACTCGGCAGGCCTGCATTGTCCAAACCCTGCACCTTTCATAGAAAGGCCTGGCCCTTGCCTGGCTCCTGGAAGATAATCTGCAAGCTCTTGGAATATTCTGACTGATAAGAGTGACTTTGTTACCTGGGTTTCTTGGCCCCCATGGCATCAACCTGACCTCTGGAGGGGCTGGAGACTGAGTAAGATCAACCACATAGGGGGTCAGCCATGCCTATGTGACTGACCCCCCAATAACAAGCTTGGACACTGAGACTCAGGGGAGCTTCCCTGGTTGGCAACAGCCCATATATGTTGTCACACAGTGTTTCTGGAAGACTTAAGCACTGTCCACATGACTCTGTGTCGAGAGGACAACTGGAAACCTGTGCCTGGTCTCTCCCAAGCTCTGTTCGGTGCACATTTTCCCTTTGCTGACTTTAATCTCTATCCTTTCACTGTAATAAACCATCACCATGAACAGAATAGCTTCTCTAAGTTCTGTGAGTCCTCCTAGTGAATCACTGAATCTGAGGGGGTCTTTGGGACCCCTGACTTAGCCCTGGATCCAGCTGTTCCTGAAGCTGTCCTCAATCTTTTATTCATGTTGGTTTGAGTCAGATTTTTTTGGTCGCTTGCTACACCAAAGAATCCTGGCTAACAAAGATTGGGCTGATTGGTCCCATTTTACAGATGCAGAAAGCTGAGGCCCAAACAGAGAAAGCCACTTGGCCCCAATGTGCTGTCTCCTTGCTGCTCAGACCACTTCCCCAGGCGCCCTCACCTTGATGAAGAGTCGCCACCACTGCCAGTGTCTCAGCTTGAGGTAAGCGGCACAGTTCCTCTGCATCACCCTCAGGGCACTCTGCTGCTGCTGTCGCTTCTGGAAGGCTCTGGGTGGGGAGACGGGCAAGTGGGAGAGTGGAGGCTCAGCCCCTCCAGGCCTGTCCCCTTTGAAAGACAGCACAGCTCCTTTCACTTAGTCAACCATTGTTGAGGGCCTACGTGTGCAAGCACTTTCTAATATTGGCAGATCCTGTTGCATATAGTCTGTCAGTCCTTTGGCCTTTGACTCTCTCTGCTCTATCCCCGCTCTCTGTCCACACAATCCTAGTTCAGGCCTCCTCTTCCCCCACCTGAACCTTCACACCAACCTTCCAGCCTCTAATCTCTTCCCTCCAGTCCATCCCCAACCTGCCTCCCGAGGGGGTCTTTCTACACCCAGAGCTTACCCTCCCCTCCCCTGCTCACAGCCCTCCCCTGGCTCCCCAGCACCTCTGGACAAGGTCCCCACCCCTCAGCCTGGTGTTTGGGGGAGTCCTTTGTTCTCTGATCCTCCCTCTGGGCCATTTCAAGGGGGAAGGAGACTCTCCTGCAAACTTCTCACATTCCTGAAACACATCAGGCTCCCATTTCCCTGGGTCTTTGAATCAGCTGTAGCTCCTGCCTACAACACCTGTCCCATCCTCCTTCGTCTCTCTGGCCATCAAGTGGGACCTGGATGCGTCCTGGTCTGCTGTAGGGTCTCCACACTACACCTGGACAACCATCAAAGCACATCCCATTCCAGACTGTGACGCTTTGTGCCCGTGTATGTCTCCCCCTCCAGGGTGGAGTCTCTTGAGGCATTGGCCGGAAGGGTGACCACCGTTCCCTGTTTGCCCAGGGCTTTCTTTGTTTTAGCCCCCAAAATCATGCATCCTGGGGAACCTCCAGTCCTGGGCGAGGCAGGATGGTTGGTCACCCTATGGCCAAGACTAGCTCTTCTCTGTGTCCCCGGCACCACTCAGCACTGGACCTGGCATATGTGGGCCCTCAGGGACTGTAGCAGCAAGAAGCCTGGGCATCTGGTGGCTCCACCCCTTTGTTTCCCGGCCCTTCTACCATCTCAGAGGTCCTGACCCCTGGAGCCCTCTGGTCAACCCTTCCCTACCCCCAGCCTTGGCCAACGGGACCCAGGAGACAGCACGGTGCCCTACCTGCGAGCTAAGTACCCCCGGGCAGCTGCCTGGAAGGACACGATGATGTCTGTGACCTTCAGGTCCCGCTCCTCTTCCAGCTGGGCCAGGACCCCTGCCCGGAAGAAGATCTTGCTCTGTCCCACACGGTAGAGGTTGGGGTCCAGTTCTAGGGCCTTGATCTGTGAGGGGTGGGAGAGGGGTGATGAAGAGGAGGGGCGAGGAGAGGGCGGTCCCTGCTCCCCTCTTCCACCGCCTGGGACCCTGCGTGTGCACACGTATACACCTGCAGCTCGGGCTCTGCCCCACACTCACCATCTTCTCGCAGGCCTGTTTCCCATCCATAAAGCCCTTGGGGATGGCACTGGGCGTCAGGATCTCATATCTGCCGGGGGGAGGGGAGCGGTGGGTGGGGAGTTACAGCACACTGTCACTGAGCTCCTGCCACACACACCGAGCACCACACACTGGGCTAAGAGCGTTAACACCACCCACGACAGCACTGACCCCCAGAGCGGCCACCCCTTGGACACTCACTGTGTGCTGATCTGAGTGTTCTGTCACCCCACCAGCATCACTGAGATGCGGAACACAGGTGGGTCTCAGAGTGGAAATGTGAGAATGCCTGCCAGTGACAGCTGATGTCTCTGAAGACTTATTACTGGTCAGGCCCTGAGCTAAGTGCTGTGCAGCGGCTTCTTCCCAATGTCTAAGCACGACGGAGAATGAAACGGGATACAGTTCATAAACACATACGTGGCGTGTCCTCAGAGCCCTTCCCCTGCTGTGCCCTTCCTTGGATCTCAACGTTTTGTAAAATATCATGCATCATATACATAAGACATGTCCTATGTTAACATGACATATTTTATGACTGGTGATTGACAAGTGTGTGTGTGTGTGTGTGTGTGTGTGTCTGTGTGTGTGTATCAGGGCTGCTCAGTCACCAGGGGTGGGCTGTTAAAATGCAGATCTTAATTCAGTAAGTCTGCGGTGGTGCCTGAAAATGTGCATATCTAAGGAGCTGCCCAGTGATGCTCATGCTGCTTGTCCCGGGGACCGCACTTTGAGTAGCAGACTCAGAGCTGCACTGTCCAATAGAGAAGCTACTGGCCACATGTAACTACTGAGCCCTTGGGACGTGGCCCAGCCATCCAAGGAACTGTATTTTTAATTAATTAATTTATTATTATTAATTTACTTTTGAGAGGGAGAGCACAAGCAGGCGGGGGGGCAGAGGGAGAGGGAGAAGCAGACGCCCCGCTGAGCAGGGAGCCCGACGAGGGGCTTGACCCCAGGACTCTGGGATCATGACCTGAGCCGAAGCTAAGACACTTAACTGAGTGAGCCACCCATGTGCCCCAGGAACTGGATTTTTTAATAATGTCTTTTTTTTTTTTTTTAAGAGAGAAAGAGAGCACGCGTGTGCGTAAGTAGGGGGCTCGGGGGTAGGGGGAGGGTTAGACGGAGAGGAAGAGAGAGAATGTCAAGCAGGCTCCACACCCAGCGGAGTCCGATGCTTGCCAGATCTCACGACCTTGAGATCATGACCTGAGCAGAAACCAAGAGTCATGGGCTTAACGGTCTGAGCCACCCAGGCGCCCCTATGACTTGCTTCTTAAACTCTGGTATTTTCTGTTCTATCCCTTTCTATTGCATTTGTAAAGAAATGCAGATCGCCACACACAGATTGCCGCATAAGGCAATCTTTCTCTTGGGGAACAACCTGAGCGGGGTCCTGCTCTCCCATTCCACAGAGGAAAAAGCTGAGACCGGAACCAAAGGAACTTGCCCTGACTCCCCAGACTCAGAAGTAGCAGTGGGGGGATTTGGATGCAGATGGGGGGGTGGGTGGGTTTCCAAACCGAGCTCCGCCCCATCGCACTCACCGCTGCCGGAACTCCTGGAAGAGGATGCGGTTGGGGAAGCCCTGGCGACAGATGCGGATGCCCTCCAGGACGCCGTTGCAGCGCAGCTGGTCCAGCACCAGCCGAGGCTCCAGCTTGCCGGCCTGCGGAGAGCGGGGACGGACACGCGGGGTCGACGGCGGCCACATGGGGGCGCCACGCACCAGACGGCAGCCGCCTGGGGGAACCAGGACGGGCCCTTCGGGAGGGTCAGAAATCCTTGGCGATTTCACAAGGGTCAACCTACATTTACTGAGTACCTACTGCTTAGCCACAGGGAGGGCGGGGAGTGCTGAATCTGCACTGGGAATAGTTGGGGAAAGGCCTCACTGGGAAGGTGATGGGTAAATAAAACCCATACATCATTATTTTGGAGTAGCTAACTTTTGTTGCCTTTTCCTTCCTTCTTCCCTCCCTTCCTTCTAAAAAAAAACCCTAAACAGTACAAAAATTCAAACTCAACATTCTAAAACAGAACTCTTGCCTTGTCCAGGCCCCCAGAGTGGGCAACACAATCCCCAGTTTCTTTCTTGTTTTTTGGGTTTTTTTTTAAAGTAGGCTTCACGCCCAGCATGGAGCCCAATGCCCTGGGCTTGAAATCACGACCGGGAGATCACCGTGAGATCAAGACCTGAGCTGAAATCAGGAGTCAGACTCTTAACTGGCTGAGCCACCCAGGCACCCCACAGTCCCCAGTTTCTAATAGAACTTTCTAGATCGGTTGTTCTCAACCCTGGCTACACACTGGCACCCTCTAGGAAGCTTTAAAAACAAAACAAAAAACACCAAAAAAACAAAAAATCCAACATCCGGGTCACAGCCCAGGGTAGAATGTGAATTTCTGGGGGGTGGGAATAAAATATGAATACCACCATTCTGGATCTTTTTCTAGGGCCACTGAAGCATATATATCTTATACTTATGCATCCGTCAAACATTTATTGAATATCCACTGTGTGCCAAGCACTGTTCAAGGCACTGGGGACCCAACAGTGAAAAAGCAGATAAAAGCCCCTACCCTCAGATTGTTTATGTTGGGCAAAAGGGAGTTTCCCTTTATTACTATATGTATACCCCCTTCTTTAGCAATAAGGCTCACTTCTTCAGGAGAGAGCTACTTCTCCCCTGTGGCTCTCAGTCCGCTAGTGGGGTGGGCACAAGACCCATCCTGGACCAATGAGGACCCTGGACAAGAGGCTCTCTTTTCCCTCCATGGTTGCTGAACTGGGAGAACCAAAGTTTGGAACTACTGGGGGCTGCCTTATCATCCTGAGGGGAGTAAGAGAAAGAAAGAGAGCGAGAATGAGATTCCTTCAGAGTAAAGACAACATAGAGCCAAGCAAAGGAAAAAGACCCCTGACACCACCATTTGGGCACCTGGATCCAGCTATAACTGAACCCAACCGTGGGATTTCAATTATGTGAGATTATACATTCTCGTTTTGGCTTAAGCCACCTTAGTTGACTGTCTCACAATCAAAACACCCCCAAGGAAATAGCTGGAAAGAACTGTAGTCGGAAATGATATATAGGATGGCCTCACATTGATATTTTCTTCCTTCTTCCCTCCACCCCACTCTTTGACAAAATATTGGGCAGGCTTGAGTGGGGGAGGTGCCAGGAGGGCCAAGAGATGGATTACATTACAGGGGACTGAGAAAACACATAAATATGTAGTATTTTGTGGGATCCAGATTTCTCACTGTCACACACACAGAAAGAGTCACAAATTTGCATGAGGAAAAAGTTATAATGAACTCTGTGATGCTGAGACAGAACTTGGCATACTGGTGTGAACTCACAGTTTTCAGTATGTAGGGATATTTACAGAAATCAACATAGATATAAACGTGTGTATACAGGGGTGCCTGGCTAGCTCAGTCGAGAAGCATGTGGCTCTTGATCTCAGGGTCGTGAGTTCGAGCCCCACATTGGGTACAGAGATGACTTAAGAAAAAAACGTGTGTGTCTACATGCGTGAATACACGTCTATACGTATGTGTATATATTCACTTGTGTGTATGTATATGCAGCTGTTTGCTGAGAGGTTCTAATACCACTGAGCACACCTAACAGCCAGATCTTAGACTCTAAGCACCATTCCGCTAAAAAGAACCAGGGCTCCTTGGAAAAAAATGGGTGAATCTGTGTACCGTATTTCATCAAATATAAGCCTCCATCCATTGCAAAACGCTGTTATTTTATATACTATCACGAAAGAAAAACTCCTATCAATTAACCTCTGACAGGTTGATTGTAGGCCACACCCCCAACTTCAGAGATGCTAAAGTGTGAGAAATAGACGTGTCTTAGGTTTGGTAAGATAGGATATTTGCAGACATCTCTCTCTCTCTCTCACACACACACACACACACAGTAACCACAGTTCCTGTTTTCTGAGGACAGGGTAAGCCTCGGGCACCTCATTTTGTATTTCATTTTCACCCATGTTGACCCTTCTCTACGGGGCCCATTCTCTGATTTTCCTAACAAGAAAACCTTTTGGTGGCCCGGGAAGCCAGGCATGGTCTCCCCACCCGGACATGACACCCCCAGCCCCAACAGCCTTCATTCCATCCCCTGCACCTTTCATGCTCCAACGTCCCACCAGGCCTTTGCACAAGCTGTTCTCTCCTCAGGATACCACTTATCCTTCAGAGCTCAATCACCACCACATCCAGGGAGGCCTCCCTGACATCACAGACCAGATTAAGCCTTAGGGGATACTTACCACCCCTACAAATCCAACTGGACATTCATCATGGTTGCTCAGTTGAATGTCTGTGCTCCCCCTTAGACTGTGAGAACAGGAGTTGGCTGTGCTTTTCTCTTGAAAGTATCCCCAAAACCTGGCCCTTAGTAGGTGCTCAATAAAATTTAAGTCCCCTGAATTGAATGAATGCATTTTCCTAACAGAGCACTGAGCCTGGGAGGGAAAGCAACTTGCTCAAGGTCACACAGCCAGTCTGAGGTGAGCCTGGCTCCAGCCAAGGTCAGTGGCCAGGCCTTTATCCCCTGCCGGAGTTGCCCCCCTCCCCAGGCCAGTCACTCACCCTCTTCTCATGGTTGGGAACGATACAGCGGACGAAGCTGGGGTTGGTGTTGCTGAGTGTGGCCATGAGGCGGCTCAGGGACTCCTTGTAGAGCTGTCCCACCGTTCGGAACATGCCCCGGCGGGGGCGGCCACCCGGTGGGCCATCCCCAAGGCTGCTCACCTGCTCCAGCCCCACGATGCCCTCCACTGTGGGAAGAGGAAACAGATGCAGAGAAAGAAGGGGGTCGGGGGTCAGTTGTAGGTGGACTGGTTAAACTTGGTTAAAGTTCAAGGGTCTTATCATTTCTAGAACCTGTCACTTTACATATGAAACACCGGTAAGTAGGTGTTATCAGCCCCACTGGACTGATGTGTCAACTCAGAAAGGAAGCTCAGAGAGGGTGGAAGACTACGCCTAAGGCCACACAGCTTAGAAATGCAGATCTACGATTTGAACCCAGGCAGGGTGAGTCCTCTGGAACCCTGGCCTCTGACCTCTCGTCTTCTCCAGGATGCAAACTGCATCTCCATGTTCCTTATCCACAGGTGCTGATAACAACAGCACCCACTTACCTAGCACTTCCTCTCTGCCAGGCGCCACTCATTTATAAGCCTAGAAGAATTGTTCCCATTTTACAGGCACCGAGAGGGTGCCAGGGATCATGAACGCAGCACGGTGGCATTTTTAGGAACTTAAAACAATATCCCACTAAAAAATGTAATAAAGCCTGGCTTTTATGTGCAGTGTTTAAAAGAAGACAGACAGGGGATGCCTGGGTGGCTCAGTCAGTTAACCGTCTGCTTTCGGCTCAGGTCATGATCCCAGCGTCCTGGGATCGAGTCCCACGTCGGGCTCCCTGCTCGGCGGGGAGCCTGCTTCTCCCTCCCTCCCTGCAGCTCCCCCTGCTTGTGCTCTTGCTCTCTCTCTCTCTGACAAATAAACAAAATCTTAAAAAAAAAAAAAAAAAAAGAAGAAGAAGACAGATGCTTCCACTGAACTATTTTTCCAGTAAGGCCTGATCTTGTCATTTGATGGTGTCACTTCAGCTACTGAGAAATACCTACTCCTTTACCTTGAATTCTGTCTAAATCCTGCCAGGTTTCTGCAGCTGGGGCAGACTCTGACGTACTGCAGCCCTCAGCAGGGAGGGTCATTGGGGTCAGCCAGATAATCCTCACTTCCAGGCAGGGCCTGGTGTGCAGGGGGGGCTCACGTACAGCCTCTTCCTCCCCAGGTTCAATGCTCCCTCTCACCGCCAGACTCCCGGCTATTATCAAAAGGATAATTAAGTTCTTAAGCCCCGAGAAGAGCAGAGGCTCTGGGGCCCGATGTCCTGGGTTCAAATCTCAGCTCTGTCCCTTACTGGCTGTGTGATCTCAGGTAGGTGACGTAACCTCTCTGGGCTTCAATGTCCTCCTCTGTATAATGGGGATAGTAGTACTAACACCTGCCTCACTGGGTTGTTTGGAGGATTCTAGGGGTTAGGAATCGTAAATGGGCTTTGCACATAGTAAGTGCTCAGTAAACACCAGCTAGTATTATTGCAATTGCTTTCCTTTTACATACAGTTTAGTTAGAAGGGTGTGCTGCTACGGAGAGTGTGGGAACTGCTGAGGGAGGCGCCAAAGAAGGGGAAGAAGGGCAAGAGTCCTCCATGTGGAGGAGAGGGGACAGACGTTCGAAGTCAGGTACCCGGTCTGACAGGCCCACCCGCCTCGGCCGGCAAATCTCACCAGTCGATGCACAGCAACACCCACCCCCTGACGGAGAAATAGCAGAGCCTCGCCTCCCTGAAGATCCTGGGGGCGACGGTGGGAAGGAGCCAAGGAAAGAGAATTGCTGGAAACCCCCATGTTCTTGGGGGGTGGGGAGAGGACAGATGAGGGGAAGGGCAGAGACATGGAGGTGGGAGATGCAAAGGGAACAGCAAGAGAAGGGAGGAGAGAAGGTGGCAGAAAAAAAAGAGAACATTATTAGTCAACAGCACAAGGCAAAGCGGGAGGGAAAACTTCCGTGTTGGCTGTGAACTTCTAAAGCCAGGGGGACTGTCCCGTTCACCTCTGTGTCTACCCACTGAGGGCATCAAAGTTGACTGAAAGGATGAATGTCCTTTGTGAGAATTTAATGCCAAGGGGAAAAAAAGTCTGTCTCCCTAGAGGTGGAATCTATCTGTTTGATTAGGTATCCCTTTTTGCCCTGGCTGCCAGGAAGCTCGAGGACTGACTCGATACTCCTACCCAGTTTGTTGCATTTGCCTCTCTGAGGAGAGGTTGTCTCATCTGCCTTCCCCCCTGGGCTACCGGGATGCTGGGCACCCGACTCTGGGCTCAGGGCAGCTGTCATAGAGACTGATGCACAAACAGCCACCTTCCCCATCCCTCCCTGTGACTTGCAGCTCCTTGAATTTGGGCTGCTGTGACTTGCTTTGCTCAGGAGAATCGTGGAGGAAGTAACACTGTGCCAAGTTCGAGTCCAGGACTCAACAGGCTTCCCACTTCCACTTTGCTCTTGGAACCCCTGGGGGACTGGGCACCTATGAGATGGGGCATGTGAGGGATCATGGTTGGGGGGGGTGTGATGTGTCCTTGAAGGGGACACAGATTTTGAAGAAGTGTGTGTTGGGGTGGGGGGATTTTCAGGCTGAGGAGATGAGTCTCATAGCAGAATCTGATTCTGTTACTGGACATTGAACACTGCTTGTCAGTCCCTCGTGTATAAACCATGCAAGACACAAACATCAAATCTCTCTGTCTAAAATCAGCTCACCAGCATCAAGGCACCTCGTGCCCTTTTGTTCCATGAGTTCATCTGGGAACCATGCATCTTGCTTATTTTTTCTCTTGTCTCATTGCATGGGCTGGGACTCACAACTACGCTTTTCACTTCAAGAAAAAGGCTAAGGCAAACTGACAGATTCTGGAAGCCTTGAATCGGGAGAAACCAAGATGCTGGTTCCACCGGTTGTTAAAATCATCTCTTCTCTAAGGATGGGGAGGGGCAGATAAAGCTTGGAAAGCTCCGGGGTTCACTCCAAAGACATTCAGCCTTTCTGCCCATGCCTCCCAGAAATGCCATTCCAAAAAGACTGATGGCCAAATCCACATGGGCCTTGTTGGAGCAGGAAAGCTCTCCCAAATAACATGGAGATCTATTATTCCTTTCTTCTTCCCTGGGGGCCCTGACAGGAACTTTGTGAGAGCCAAGAAAGCAGAGCCCCAAAGCCGACTAATCTTTAAGACACCACACTGCTGAGTTCTCTTGTGATTAATTCTTTTTCAGTCAAATCTCTTGGTTTTCTCTTTTTTAGGGATCATATGCCATCTACAATGAATAACTTTCTCTCTTCCTTTATAATATTCATATAGTTATTTCTTTTTCCAGTCTGATTGCAGAGACTAGTATTGCTAAAACCATGTTGCCCAGCAGTGGTGACCATGGGCATCCTCATCTTGTTTCTGATTAAGGAGTGTGTTTTGTCATTGAGCATGATGCGGGCTTAAGATAACAATCAACCAACCAATCAGTCAGTCACTGATTGGAAACACTACCCGGAGACCGTCTGGCCTGCCTGCATCAGTTCCATGTCTGAGCAGACAACTCACATTCAGAACTTAGCCTCTAGAACAAAGGTGTGGGCTGGGAAAAGAGATGCACAGAGTTCCAGGGACAGGGAAGCTGGGGAAGCTGGCCCTCACCGTCTTTCCAGATCTCTGCCGTTAGCTTGTCTGTGCTCAGGTGAAGCAGGGCTGCGACACTGTCATTCAGAGGGTCCATGTTTTTCATCAGCCACTCATTGGCCTTGTAGTCGACCTGGGTGCAGTCAGGCAGAGGAGGTGGTGAGTTTGCAGCTTCACCAGTTCTCCCAATTTCCCAAGGAACCTCCCAGAAGCTCTGGGACTGCCAACTCCAGGGCTCATCATGGATGAGAGAGCATCGGTGCCACCTTGTGTCCGTTCGCAGAACTGCACCCTCCACCAGCAGGGTCCCTCTCCCTCTACTTCCCTTATCTGTCCTCTGACCACCCAGAGGACCGCATCCACCCTCACTTTTTCCTTATCCATTCTATTCCAGCCACACTGGGCTCCTCACTGTTCCTCAAACACACAAGCTCATTTCTACCTCAGGTTTACCCCTGCCATTCCCACCGCTTGTGATTCTCTCACCACGGATTTTCACACGGCTGGCTCCTTCTAAGTATTCAGGGCTTTGCTTCGAGGCTCCCAGAGTCACAGTCTTGACCAGCACAATCCCCCACACATGTGCCCCCCACCAGACAGTGGCTCCCTGAGGCAAGGGCTCGGATCTGACTCACAGCACAGGGCTGGGCCCATGGGAGATCTTAGACAATGTGTGGAAGAGGCAGTGAGGGCTAGACACAGAGCACAGAGGTCTCCTGCCTCCCAGCCTCTGTATGCTGTTCCTTCCGCCTGGACAGCCCTTCCCATCCTTCACCTATCCTTTACTGGCTGTTACTCAACATTTGGGCCAGGGATTGGGAAACAATGGTCCACAGGCCAAATCCCACCTTTTTGTAAATAAAGTCTTATCGGAATACAGCCTTCATTTATATAATCATTTATATATTCCCCGGCGTGTCTTTCACACTACAACGGCAGAAGCGAGTAGCTATGGCCAGAGACTGGCTGAAACTATGTACAGAAGATGTTTGCTGACCCTTGATTTAAGTTCCAGATCAAGCATGATTCTCGTCTGAAACCTCCCCTGACATTCCTCCTCCGGGCTTTGACACTACCTCCACTGAAGCATCTAGCAGCCATCTATCCTCATGGTCTGTATTTGTCCCTCTCCCAGATCAGGAACTTTGTGAGGACAGAAACCACGTCCGGCGTGGGGCCCCAGCTTTGCTCAGCACAGGGCTGAGCACACAAAAGGCACATCTTTGCCGAATGAGGGAATAAAATGCACATAATTCTCCTCACGGCGAACTCCTATCCACCCCTCCAAGCCTACTGGAAATACTCCCTCCTTGAGGAAGCTTTTGCTGACTTCATCAGACAGAGTCCTCAGTCCTCCTTGGGCTTCCCCGGCCCCTGTCAGTGTCTCGTTCCAGGGGACATTTGGGGGGGGGGGCCCTGTGTTCCCTCTGCACTCTCCCTGCATCTGCAGCCAAGTGGTCCCCACCCCCGCCCACGGGCCCCAGGGCTGGCCCAGCCACCTACCTTGCCTGCATAGTGCAGGACACTGAAGTCAGCCTGGTCCCGCAGGTTCCTTGGCCGCTGGAACTTGGGGTGGCCTCCTTGTTCCTGGGCCACCTTCTCTACAAAGGACTTGTCCGTGGCCTTTGGGAACCAGCACTCCTCGTCCAGCAGGGCCAGGAGCCCAGGGGGGTTAGCCTAACCACCAACAGGAGGGGAAGAGTACGTCAGATCCCCACACACTGGACTCTTAGGCTGCTGCTAACTTGTAGCTCTTGTAAGAGGCACATGGACATACAACAGAACACAGTTCCGGCTGTTGATGAGAGCTTTGGCTCAAACCAGGTCCCGCGGCAGGCACATCCGGGGCCTACGCATCTATAAAGCAGACGCTGTCATGAACTGATTTAGAGGCCGGAGGCCCAGCAGGGTAGGAGCTGGACTGAGGTCTCGGATCTCGTGGCTGGTGGAGGTGGG